CTCTGGAACTGGAGTTATGGATAGTTGTGGGTTCCAGGATCTAAACCTATGCTCTCTGTAAGAGCAGCCAGTGCTCTTAACCACCAGGCCATCTCTCCAGCTCCTGTGTGTGTGGTTTAAATGTCTCATGGTAAAGAATGTAGATCTCATGAACTGTCTGGTAGTACTGGCATACAAACCTTGGAATGACTTCCTGTGGGTTGTGCATGAAATGAAGGGGTAAAGTTGCAGGCTAAAGACATGCCTATAAAGTTGGGCATGGTGGCACATGCCTTTAATCCCAGGCAGGTGGATTTCTGTGAGATTGAGGCCATTGTGGTCCATATAGTGAGTTCCTGGCCAGTCAGAGCTGCGTAGTGAGGCTCTATCTCAAAAAATACCAAAAATAATAAATAAATAAATAAATAAATAAATAAATAAATAAATGAATAAATAAATAAATAAATAACAACAGAAACAAAGCAAACAAACAAAAAAAGAATTGCCTATGAGGCCTGATTTGTGAGTATGAGATGGCAAGTACATTGATTTAGCATTTTATCAGAAATGCTTGTGAGAGCTTTTCACCCTCAGTTTCTTCATCTGCAGAATGGGGTTGAATGACATGGCCTTGCCCACATTTCCAGGAGATGGAATGGAAACAGTATTTGGTAGCACCTTTTTTTGTCTGCTCGGTGCTCATTGTTTTGCTTCAGGGGCTGAGCTGGGCAGTTTGGAACATGGATAAAAAGTGCCAAGTGGGTGCTGGGATATGCTTGGGTCATTCTCATCTTCTTGGCTTGCACTTCTAGATGTGCTCTCCTAAGTCTCCTGTTTTCAGCTCAAGGGATGCTTTAGTCTTCCATCAGCTGGTCTAAAACACATGCTACCAAAATTTGTAGGCGCTTGGAGCCAATCAAAGAAGGAAGCAAGGACTGTTCTGCCAAGGCTAAGGGTCCTTGGCCTCAAAGTTAAGATGTTATTTGTTTATTTAGTTTTTTGGTCTTTTTGAGACACGGTCAAAGCTCCATTGACTAATAACAATTATCATTGCAATCTTGGCCTGACTGAACAGAGATTCAATCTCAGAAGTCTTTAGAGTTGCTGAAGGAGGATACAGGTTTCCTCGAAATGGAATGTGATGAATATAGAGTTCCTTTTCTCATCTATTCTACTGTATCTGGTTTAAAGATGACTTGAAAAAGGATAACTTCTATCCTGACGATGAGCAAGCACAGGCAAGGTGAGAAAGGTCAAAATGTCAATTAGAATGACATGGACCCATGAAAGTAAATGTTGGCAACTTGTAGAATCGAGACTCAATTACCTGTCTCACAGAGAGCTGAGTGGGTTGGAACTGGGGGCATGTTCCCTATATTAGGTTCTTGAACATCTACCATAGGTCAGGTCAAAATCAGTCACATGAAGTTAGAGTGAAATTGGCTCCCAGGAATCTGCTTATGCCTGCTTGGTTATGGATATAGAAAAGTAAGAGTCAGCCGTGAGGCCTGCTGCTGCCCCTTTACTTTCTGTTTAGCATGTTGCAAGTGTCTGGGGGTACTCCAGAAGTTCAGGAAGGCTGCTGCTATGACTCTCTGGGGATTCCAGATGAACTAGGGACCTTTTCAAGGTGGTGGTGGCCCTGTCTCCTCTATGTACTGTAGCTTCAAAGTATAGCCTTTTGGGGGCCTGATGCTGGGTAACTATGTGCAACCTTCCAACTTGATCCTTTGCCTAAGATGAGTAACTTTACTGCTGTATTAGGGGTAAAGAATACCAGCTTTCTTTCCTTCTTGGACTGCTCCTGAGGGCTGGGCTAGGGCATGGGGAGGAGTTAATATTTGCATAATTGGAATTTCAAGTACACAAACGTTATTCAAAACTAATAGGCTCGGATATAGTTCAGAAATCAGAATCTTTAGTATTTTAGAAAGGTGCTAACAATGCATGGTATTTTACATGTATTTCCTGTGAGATCTAGGGCAGCATCACATACAATGAAATAAATTACATTTTTGTGGGGAATATATGAAAATTCACCTTAAGTAGAGAAAATAAAGTGAGCCTTACCTTCATTCAAGTCATGTTTGCCTACCACATTAGCTTTGAAAAAAAGCACACATTTTTAGAGCTTTCTGGATTCGGGGGTTACCAATAAAGGATTGTGGACATGTAATTATCATTGGGTTTGCACTTTTAATCAAATTGATCCACAGAGGAATGGCACATGGTGGTGCTGGTTGGCTTTTTCCTTGGAGGGGTCTCTGATGAGGTATTTTAGGAGATGAACTCCCACTGCTGTTCTTTTAACAACCTGTCTCTTTTCCATAGTCCCTCTTTCCTCTTAGCAGGGATTCTAGCTGACAAGCAGATGTCTTCTCTATAGTATATCCTATTCTCAGTGTAGACTCAAACAGAACAAATGCTGAGGAACACACACTTGCAAAGCCAACAGGTCCATAATGCAGAATATTATAGTTCTCAATGTGACAAGGGCAGATATCAATGATTAAACTATAGTAATGAATCAGTGTACATAAAGGAATTCCAAAAACCTAACATTCAGACTTTTTAAAAAAATTATTTATTTAATAACCATATAATTAGAAGAAGCATTTCATTAAAACAGCATCGACACATTCAATAACAATTTCCAGAGCTAAGATGCATCTGTTTCAAAATTGGCTGTAAAACTTTAGGTTTACAGTTGAATTGATACAGTTATACAATATTGTACTCCGTTTAACCCTTATAAGACATAAAATTAAATGAGGTTTTAAAATTTAAAACAGATCTCCATTTCATTATTAAAATACAGTTTCATACAGAAAAATTCATTTTTAAAACAATTGACACTAAGATGTACATGCGTTTCTAATCTCTACGTATCTGATTGTTACTA